AGAAAGCCAGTGAAGAAGGTAGAGGCTAGGACGCTCTCTGTTGGGCTCAGCAGTTGGGCCCCTGCAGACCTGAGAGCAGTTTCACTGGAGAGGTGGGATGGAAAGATAACCATCCCATCAGCCAAGGCCTTCATGTTTCTTTCCTCCCACCCCCATTTAATCCTCACAACCACCTTATGAGGTAGGTATGTGACGAATTTTTCAGATGAGGAAACTGAGGCTTAGAAACATTCAAAGTCACAGAGCTGGTACAAAGTAGGGGTGATTTCCTAGTGGGTTTTGGAACTTGGATGCCATGGAGCCGAAGGTTGAGGTGAGTGGCCCCGTGCGCCGGTGTTGTGGACAGCTGGGCTGAAGCCTCCTGCAGAGGGTAATCGGGGTCTCCTGGTGTGAGTGTTTGGGCTTCTCCCACTGGGATCATCTGGAGCTGCACCCTCCACTCCTGAACCTCAGTCTGGACAGATGGGCTATTGGCCCCATTGGGGACCAAGTGGCACCATTAGGGTGACAGCAACCTCAAGTATTAGCTCTCTCCTGGCCAGTTTTACCATCTTAGTGTCCACACATACACATATACCCCTGCACATACATGCACACACACCCAGACACATGCATACATACATGCACACGCCACTATACATATATGATGAGGGGTAGCTATGCCTTTCTCAGTCGATATACCCTCGTTTTCCTGTGCGTGTGAGTGATATTAGCAGGAGATGAATGAGTGGATGAGATGTTTCCACTTCTGTAGGGGTGCCGTGGCTGCGTGTTTGTGTTTGGTCTGCCTAGTTTGTCCAGAAGAGGGAAGGCGGCCCGAGAGTGTCATAATTTAAGAACGTGAACTTTTTCCTGCACAGACCAGTTTGAGGTCAAAGTGGCCTCACAGCCTCCTGCAGGGTGAATGGGGGAGAGAGAGCCTTCAGGTCTGTGTGGGCAGCTCTGAAAACGTTGCTCAGAACAGGTTTTTCATCTTAGACTCAGATGACTTTTCAATGTTGGGCCAAATCTATGCAAACATCTGAAAGCATAACGTGACTGCTGGATTTTCAGAAAGGTCGGCAGTCTTGTTGGTCAAACCGTTGTCCGGTAAGCGCCCAACAGCCACTCAGGAAAACAGCCTCGCTGCCATGATAACTTCAGTGCCATTGCCTGCAGGACAAGGCCGGGTTCCCCATATCCTTGGAGGAGGGCGGTGTGACTGGCTGACCTGCCTTGTGCCAGGTCCTGAGCTGGTACTTGGGACACATGATTTGCAACTTTCCCACATGGAGGCTTTGGCCAGAGATGGGCCGGTTGGAATCCAAATGCTGTCACAGAACCCAAATGTCCAGCCAACCGATGTGGAAATGGGAACTAGAGTGGTTCCCATGGAAACAGACTGCCTGTTCTTTTGCTTGTGTTGCCTTGGCATCTGATGTGCGGCCCGCCTCCCCCTCAGGTCAAGGCTGCAATTTAATTAAACACTTTGGTGCTGATTCTCT